GACCCGAAGTGGGTCAGTTCGTTGGTGCGGGAGGTACCGCGAGGCGCTCGTATCTAGGGAGTAGTGTTCGACGGGGGCGATGGTGAAACAATTTTGTAGGATTGTGGAATCCGTTGGGGTAAAGAGAACTTCGTGACTTGGGTGTCACTGGGCCGAGATAGTTGTTATGAGAAGGAAGTCAGTAAGACATTTCGGGATATGTTATGGGTGACCTTTGGAGGTTCAACTGTGGAGTCAGAAGTTGACCTAGTGCTCAGTATTAAAAAGAGGGTATGAAGAACGAAGCTGGGACTTGTGATTGTGATGTCTGAGGACACTTCTGAGCGAGCCTGGTTATTCTCTTGTGTCTGAAGGGCAGAGTGTTTGGGGATTCTTTGTTCGGATGGGTTCTGATAGCAGTTTAGTGTATGATCCCTGGTGGGGTGTGGACCCTTCCGTTTCTTGGCGCGTGATTTGGATCATTAGCATGTTGATATGAGTGAGCGGTAGCCGATTGTTGGATTTGGTCTTGTGAGAATCAGAGGACCAGTGAGTTATCAGGGTTTGATATTCGAGGAGCGAATATCATGGTGATCGCTTGAGTACGCGGTCTGGCGGCGGGTCAGGCCACTAGAGCTTCCGGATAGTGGGGAATGAGTATATTAGCGACGAAAGAGTTGGTTCAGTTCTGGTCTTGGGAGTTTTGTGTGGTTTCAGGTGTCCATAGAGAAAGATATCGGTGTAGTATGAGATCCTTTCGGTGGTGCCTTTTTGGGTTGATGATTTCATTATGTGAGTGGTTAAAGAGTGATTTCGAGGGCGAAATCTAATTCAAGTCGGGGAAAATTGTAACATCCGGATTTTCAGGGATATTATCGTGTAGTTTGATCTTGTGATTAAAGAAGAGACTCGACGAGTTGGAGGTCCAACTCGCCGAGTCAAGCCGGGTTTTTCCCGTGGACTTAATGAGTGGACTCGACGAGTCCGAGGAGGGACTCTCCGAGTAGGCGCTGATTAGAGAAACCCTAATTTCCGGGGTTTGGGACCTATTTAAAGGCACTTATAGCCTCATTTGCGGCCACCCTTTCCCTGGAAGCAAACCCTAAAGGTCATTTGAGCTAGAAAGTGAGAGAGAAGCTATCTTGGGATTTTTAGTGCATCATTTGAGAAGAAGAGAAGGAGATCAAGCAAGGATCAAGAGGAGGAAAGTTGGATCCAGTGATAGATCGTCCAGAGCTTCTGAGGAAGGTAAAAGTCTGCACCTTTCTCATTATTTTGGTTAGATCTTATGTGTTTGGAGTTCTAGGGCTTTTACCACCTTTGGTTTGGGACTTTGAGTAAAATGGATTAGCTAGAAGCCTAGTCCTCAGATCTGGACCTTGTGAGGTCCCTAGAGTCCAAAGGTCCCAACTTTATTCATCCAAGTGAGGGTTGTTGTGCTTAACACCTTAAGAAGGGCTTGTTTTGGCATTTTGAGGCATTTATGCCATGCATGAAGGTAAAGGTCGAGACTTTATGTGTCTCTGGTGTCTTAAAGGGCTAGATCTAGGGTTTGGAATGAGAGATATGACTTTGGACGTCTGAATGAGGAATCAGACCGAGGGGGACTCGTCGAGTCCATGAGTTGACTCGACGAGTCAGTGAGGGTTTGTCCCGATGAGCTTGAGCATGCGATAGCTCGACGAGTTGGGGGTCAACTCGACGAGCTGAGCTGGACCTTCACGAGACTTCTGAGGATGTGCATGGACTCGACGAGTTGCATGAGTGCGCTCGACGAGTCGGGTCAGACATGGACTGTTGACTCGAGTTTGACTTCTGTTGACTCTGAGGTTTGGTCAACATGACTAATGGAGACCATGGAGGGGTAAAATGGTCTTTTACCCAATTCAAGAGTTAGAGAGAGAAGAATAGCCCTCATTTATTAGGGTCGTGTAAAGAGTATTGATTAAAGATATTCATCTTTTGTACTAGGCGGAGGCTAGTTCGAGTTTCGGGTGCGAGGGTATTTACTTGCCGCTTGTCAGGTGAGTCTTCTCACTATACCTTACCTTGAGTGGTAAGTAGAGTTATGTGACAGAGTATCTTGTATGCTATGTATGTGATATGTTGCACTGTATTATTTCTATGTGATTTATGCTGTGTGTATTCCAGAGTTTACAGAGTTAGGACCGGAAGGTCCACAGAGTTAGGACCAGAGGGTCCACAGAGTTAGGGCCAGTGGGCCCACAGAGTTATAGCCTCGAGTGGCTAATATGTGTTATATGTGGTATTTTGGGGAACTCACTAAGCTTCGTGCTTACCGTGTTATGTGTTATGTGTTTCAGGTTGTTCTCAGGAATCGCGGGAAGGCACCGGCTTGATTGTACACACAAGAGAAGGAATTAGGTTTTTGAAGATCCTGGGTTTTTACTAAACAAATTATGGAGTTTGAATTGTAAACTTAAATGAGATTTTTGTGAAATGCATTACGAGATTCATGTGATTTTTAATGAAAAATTGTTTGAAAATTTACGGTGTTACACACTTGCTCCAACAATCCTTCATATAAAGAAATCCATAGGGATTTCCTTGATCATTTTCTTCTCCATAAAACACATATACACTCCTTAACCATCAAAAGAGCCTCTTTTCTCTCAACTTTCAGCCACACTTTTGATGTGTTCTTGAGTCATTTATTCACGTATTGGTAAATATTTACTTCTAACTCAAGTGCTATTACATGTTTTTATAACACTCTTGGATCATCTACACACATATTAACACGAAATCGTTCTTAGGATCATCCAAAAACTTCGTGTGTTCATCAAGTGATCTAGACTTGAAACTCATCATCTTCAACCTTCCATCCTTCAAGGAATCACATAAGGTGAGTTCATACCCCTACATTTTCTAGTTTTCTGTAGTTTTCAGGGGGGGAATACAAGTTAAAACACCAAAACATATTTGACAGCTTACAACAGAAAAGTTGTGACCTGTTCACGAACTGTTTTACCCAACTTAAACTCAATATCTTTCAAAACTGTTTAATATGAAAATAGTTCAGGTTCATACCTTTAAAATGACTACTTGCACATCTGCATACAATTTTTCTACAATTTATGGCGATTTTTACAAAACTGCCTATCATTTCAGAAACGAATTCGGACCAGTCTGTGAATATGAACATTTTCACACAAGTTAGGGACTTCTAAAAATCATAATAAAAATTACGAATAAACTAGACACATTTTCTAAACTCTCAGAGTTTACGGATTCAGTTTTCGACTTCGTATGATTTTTCTAAAACAGTACAGATAAGTTAAAGACTACTTACATAGCTTACCATATTAACAACACTTTGTAGTATGTTGAGCAAAGTGCATAACAATAAGTTTCTAAAGTTTGGATGCATTCTTGTTAGTTTACAATCATAAACAGAAATTAGTCATTCATGTTAAGGTTTTTCCTCTATTCATTTCGAACACATATAATAAACTACATTAAGTATAGTTTATGAATTTTCGATAAAAGCATACTACATGGAAAAGGTTTTACTCTCAAAACAAATGGGTTTTTCATATACTACATGATAAACTATAATAGTGATAGTTTATGGATTTCATATCACTAATTATTTCATAAAAGGTGATTTCACTTCCACCGCAGAAGAGGTTTTATACTAAAACTATATGAAACTAGTTAACGTAAATTGTGAGACATTTCCCTTCGGGGTACTCTTAAGTACCACAGAAAAGTCCTGTAGTTATAATCAGAATCTCTTGTAGGGAGAGCGTGATAGTTGTGTATAGATCTATATTGGGTCTGACAAACCCGTACCTGAGCTGCTTGCAACAGCTAGACCGGCAGGTCTGAGGTGACAAGTGTCATATCATTCCGACGCCTGAAGAACGTCGAGTACGAGGTCCTCGAGTTATAGTATGGTTATAACAATTCACATAGGGAGTTAACAATCTTTCAAGTTTACAAGGAAAATTCTACTTTGAAAAGGGGTTTTATCTATTTAAAACTACTTGAACATTAATAGTATAAAACACACACACATTCTCGGCCTTGGGATTTAAGGCTACATAACTTTTTATAAGGAAAATATTGGATTTTCTTTGGAAACGCACTACGATCATAAACATCATAAGTACAAAACACACACTCATATTCTCGGTCTTGGGATTTAAGGCTACGTAACTTTTATAAGGAAAATAAGGGATTTTTCTTGAAGTATACATGACAAAGTACCAGATTTATTACTAAATGGCTTTCATGATATTAACAACTACGTTTCATCTAGAATTGTTAGACTTCAGCTATAATTTGCTAAGTGTGCATGTTAGAGTTATATATGAATTTAGTCGCAATCGACCTAGAATTGGTGGGCCCGCCTTACTTCCTGTTCCTTGTTTGGTTGTGGACCTAGGGCAGACCCATTATATTCGACAGTTTATTTAACTTCAATTTTATATAACTTATATACACTGGGTGATTATAGAAGGAATCTACAGGTCTTTCTAGGGTACATTATTGCATAACATAGGAGAGTTCATTTCGCGTTTAATAAAGAAAATATTGAATTTTCTGGAATCATACTCTATCGGTTTTTACAAGGAAAACGGCTTCTTTCTCAAATAAAACTCTTATGAACTCACCAACTTAATTGTTGACACTTTTTCAAACTACTTATATTCTCAGGAATCAGTGAAACAGGAAATCAACCGCTTTTGAGGATGGGACGTTAAATCGTCAAACATTTCATTTTATCATCATAGTGTAATTGATTTGAAATATGTAAACACATACTATGGTGTAACTTTTTCGATTATATCCATGATGGTTGTATTTACTTTGAGCACTATTATACTCGTTGTTGTGATACTATACATGAAGTCCTCCACCCCCGGACGTTTCTGCCATCCTTGGTTTGGGGGTGTGACAACTACTATGCACCGAATATTTTAGATTTCGGCCAACGAATCTCCCTCTATTCTCCACTCGACTTCAATTAAGTACTATTTTATTCAACCCTCTGTATGTGTCCCGAGACGACTCAGTTCTCAAATTATCAAACCCTAGCATTCTCTCTTTCTCTCTCTAACTTTTCTCCGCCATGGCTTCACGGAGGCTATCTGCCTCCCTCATCCACTCCTCCCTTCATCGATCATCAACTAGATCTCCATTTACTCACTCCACCAGAGCCGCACGCGCACTATCTCAATCCCAACCTTCTCCTACCAGTTACTTCTGCCGTCGCCGCTCCGACCAAGCCAGTTGCAACAACCCCTGGTGAAGGATCTAACTATGGAAAGATCACCGACGAGTTCATCGGAGCCGACACGATTGGACAGGTGTGCCAGGTGATTGTGTCGTCGTTGATGTGAGATTCAGCGAAGGATTGCCGTCGATCCTTACGGTGTTGGAGTTTTTGGACAACTCGATCATATTAGTTTTGGAGGTGGCGCAACATTTAGGGGAGAATATGGTTAGGACTATTGCTATGGATGGTACCGCAGGGCTTGTCCGTGGTTAAAGAGTTCTCAACATCGGTTCTCCTATCACTGTAAGTTTTTTCTCGATCTCAAAAAATTTAGATCTTTTTAAGAACACGATCCGATTATGTCTCGATTTCTCTTTTGAGATCCAGTACTTTATCATTATTGTAGCCTGTTGGTTTATGGTTCAGATCGGTAAAGTCAACATGTTTAATTGTAGCCAAGTTTTTTGTATGTCGTGTATGGTGTTGTAACACTATTGTGTAATGATCCATGGAGCTAATAAGCTAATTCAATGTCATTGTAGGTACCTGTTCGTAGAGCAACCCTTGGTCGTATCATTAACGTCATTGGAGAGCCAAATGATCATAGAGGCGATATTAGTAAGTGTTGCATGCCTTTCATCCTTTCCTCATGTATTAGTAATTTAGTATCTTAACTTTTTGATTCTTTTAACTTTTTTCGACTCTTGAAGCATTTTCCAATTTCTGAATGTATCATTTGATGTGGAAGGGTAATTGATGAGACAAATAATTTTTGACCAGTCTTTTGGTGGAGAAGAAGAACTCATTTTTGCAAACAAATGAAATTTATAATTTTAGAGGAGCATGGAAGTTTGGTATGAAGTTCTTATGTTTTTTAGATTTTTTATATAAAGTTTTGAAGATGCAGAAGGTGTCACATTTTGTATTTTCCTTAGGTATTGAGACATTTTCACAAGCGACCAAAAGATTTTCACAGGCCAACAAGCAACACAAATTTTTGTAATTAAGTCATTTCAAGTACGAGATTCATGATGAAAATGGACTGAAACAATGTTGTTAACATCTCATTCTTGTTAGAAGATCACTCCAGGTAAATTCTCAAAACTTCTAAAAGATTTTACTCTTTTAGTAATTGTTTATATTTTGGTTTGGCTAAACATGTTTGTTGAGATGACTATGATATATTAAATGGGAAACCAATTAGAGTTGCTATAGTATATATATATATATATATATATATATCTATTATATATATATATATATATATATATATATATATATTATATATATATATATATGTCAATATTTTCATCGATGCTAAATATACATTTGAGTGGGCTTTTTAACTATTTTTATAAATCTCAAACATATGTATAATTATGAATAAACCTATCACATTTGATTTGTAACAAAAAAAAAGATAATTATGAATAAACCTATCACATTTGATTTGTAACAAAAAAAAAGACCATAATGCCCATTCCTTCTATGCTCATGAAAGAACCAGGTATAAATATCATAGCAGTTAATATTACACCAGCAACCTTCTTGAAAAAATATCAACTTGTAAAATTCCTTAAACTTTTATTGCACCAAACTTGATCATCATTAAATTGACTTATACTTTGCACTTGCTAGCCATAGCCTCGATACTTCATATAGACATGAGAGAGCCTGTCGTAGTTGACAAGAACAAAAAAAAAAAAAAAAAAACAAATTGCCCTTTATTCCTTTATCTATACTAAATTAAACCACTTCTGGTGTCCTTTATCCACATAACCTAATCTCATTCAATATGCATCCAAAATCAATATTGACACAAGTAGGACTAGATTAATTAGTAATTTAGTATGCCAAGTCTTACAACATCAGATTCCAGAAAAAGACCAAAATACCCTTTTAAATCTTTATTACACCAGGGCTTAAAATAGTCAAACCACATATTAATATCCTTGTGCCATTCTTGTTAGTTTGAGCATATCAAATAGATTTGACATAACCCCAAAAAGATCATTTTTGCCATTTTTTTTTCTTATTTTTGCACCATAACATCGGGCCTTTGTTGTTCTTTAATCCAAAAAGGCTAAAGCCACATCCAATTGCAGCCATGGTAATAGTTGCAAAATTAAAAGATAACAAATAAATTTCTTGATTTAAGATTATAAAGAACATGAAATAAAATTACAACATAATGAGGGTGAATCTTGATAGCATCATAATTTCATCTTTTGTGTTGCCAACAAGCTTTAAACTTGTTCCATATTTTGCATGTGTAAGCAGATTCCTTTCCCAATCCTCGACATTTGTTTTAACTTTCTCTAGTATACTTAATGAAGCTTTATTTTTGCAGCTTATCTTTCTGTTGTTTTTGTCTCTAGTTTGTTCTTATCGACATGGTTTTATTATTTATTTTAAAAATTGTCTTATTTAACTGTATTTTTAATCGTCTTTGTTTATTTTTGGATAGGAAATTGCTAGTATTGATTCTAGAGTATGAGATAACACGATTTATTCAACCTAGTATGGAGTTTGGGGATGAAGTTTATCTACGATTAAGTTTCAATTTTTTTTTTTACTTTTATTCGTTACTTTATGTTTAGTTGTACTTGGTTCCACATTTAGACATAACCGATTCAAAAAGTTTAAAATATTGATAAAAAACAAGGGAAATTTTATTATTTTCTATGTGCTACATATTAATTATTCTATATTTTATATTATAGATAAGATTATATAGATATAAGTAACCTAAATTATAAAAATCTCTTAGAGTATTTATGGGTGTAAAAGGTGCTACAAAATAGTTTTTGTATTATGGAAAATAATTAAGTGCCACTAAAAGTCTTAAAATGTGCAATTAAAAGTAGCATGAAATGTTGAATCAAACGAGCATTCAATGGCACAAAATATGTGTCACCAAAAACTTTTCTTCTATTGTGACGAATAAATAAGTGTCACTAAAAGCTTAAAAACCTATAGCGACAAAAGTTAAAAGTGCAACTAAAGGGTTTTAGTGGGAGCATTTCTAGTGACACTTATTATATGTGTCGCAGATTCTCTTAGAAGCCTTTAGTGGCATTTTTGGGGTTTTTAGTGGCACTTTTTGTGTGCCACTAAATGACATAATGTTTGTAGTGACAACAAAATTAGTGAAACATGCATAAAAACAGATGTATAAATATGAACCAATGCTCACCTTGTGTTCATCAGTCAGAAAGAAGGGTATTGCCTGCACCAAGACCACCATCAATGTCATCCGTGAGGAGATCTATCAACCATTTCCATGTGGCCTTGTTCTCAACCCCAACTACAACCCATGCTATAGGGTAGATGTGGTTGTTTGCATCCCTCCCTATAGCTGCCAAAACTTCTCCCCTAACAATACCCTTTAAAAAGCAACCATCAAGGCCAATCACAGGCCTGCACCCTTCCTTCCAACCATCACTTACAGCTTTAAAGCAGACATAGTACTTAGAAAACAAAGTTGTGGAATATGGCATGATGTCTACATCCATCCTCACAGTAGACCCAAGGTTTGTCCTCAGAATTTCATGACCATATGACCATAATCTCCCATAATGTTCAATTAGACTTCCTTCAATTTCTTGTAATGCAAATTTCTTTGCATTTCTGCATTGCCCCACACTCACATTTATATTGAATGTTGTTGAAACTTTAGCTTTCATCTTCCTAACACTCATTTTTGGTTTCTCTAGAATTTCACTCATAAACTGTTTGTCTAACCACTTATAAGTTACTATGGACCCAAACTTAAACACCTTGCTACAATTATGTTCATTAACTAGAGATTTTTTATCTGAAAAGTCTTTTCTTTAGTCATCCAAGAGGCCCAAAGTCTAAACGGACAAGTAGGCAACTTGTTTTTTTTTTTTTTGTTTTTGTTTTTTTTTTTTTTTTTTTGCAACACTTAACTAACAACCTTTGGGAGTCATTTTTTTCAAACCAAAGATCATATCCATTAGCAACTGCATAGTTGCTCAACATGTTTTTAAGCTCATCAGGGTTAGAAAATCGCATACCTAACAATGGTTTCATCTGATTCCATGGTTGTCTATCATCATGCATAGGGTATTAAGGTTCAACATCTTCATATAGATCATCTACATTTACTGTATGTAGACAAAGTTTGTTTAAGAACCTGTCACCCATGGTTTTGTTGGCTGGGAATGGATATTCAGCATCATCTTCTTCATGGTCAACAGAATAAGTGTCCGACAAGACTGAGTCTTCATCCTCTTCACAGTTGTAGTCTTGATCTTCATTTTCCTTTTCCTCAATCCATTCGAAGATTGGTTCATTATAGTGGTCCATATACACCTTCATTCTCCTCTCATTTGCATAAGCCAAATCCAAAAATTCTTTGTAATCACCGTCATTCACCAGTGTATGAATTCCCTGACTTAAAGACTCTTGTGGAAGGCAAAAGTAGATGTCTTTGCTTCTACTTCTGGTGAGCTTCTGAAGGAATTCCATGAACTCCTTGTACTCAAATGGACTGAAGTCAACATCTCGTACTGATTGTTTGTCGGGATCAAAGTATACTAATGGGTTGGGCGCAAACGTTCCATTGTAGTGGAAATCCACTACAATGAAGTTTTGATCAGTGGGACATTGTGATGAAACCATTATAGAGACCGATTGAAGATTGAAGGAGACAAAATCAGGGGTTAATGAGACTTCGTGCCCTAATCGAATTGAAGGACCAAATGAGACTTCACTCTTAACTTTAATGAGGAGGGGAGGCAAAATCGGGGCCTACATGCCCCCTCATTGGCCACCTAGGATAAAAAAGCCACATCAGACCGATTCAACCGTTGAAACCAACTATAATCGGTCATAGGGGGAAAATTTACACGAATCAACAAGTTAAATGGCTATTAGAGCACGAAAAAAAGTTTAGTGACCAAATATGACCAAAAGCAATAATATGTTACCATCTCAAGTCATTTTCCCTTATCTTTATTGAAAACTACTTTTACTTTCAATAAACTATTCAATGATTATTTTAAATTTTGTTGCCCCTATTTTCTTTTATCAATTCAATTGCAGCCTTGGCAATCTTTTAATCAGTCAGCATTCAATGCATTAATACAACCTCTCTGAACAAGTCTTTGAACACATGAAAAGCCTCCGAAAAATCTCTTAACCATTAAGAGAACGAATACTAAATGTTTCAATTTTATCAAATTGTTTTAATGATCTAAAAAGCATAAAAAAATGTATTGTGGGATGTTAAAACAGTTCTAAGACACCTTACAAGAGTTATAAGGAGGCAATGTCATCACAAGTTTAAACAATAAGTGCAACAAAACCAAAATCTTGACCATAAGATAAAAAAAGAGTTACCAACAAATTGCAAATGTGGGATAAATCTCCAAAATTATCTATTTCATGTCCAAAATCGAAAAATAATATACGAAAAAGAGACGAATCTTATTATAACAAGAGAGCTAGAATTTGGTCTAAAACCTACCACGTGCACCAAAGAATTGGTTTTGTTTGTAGCAAAACCAACAATTACAAAGTGGATGATAATCATATGCTTTTAATTAATTAATTAATAATAATGGAAAGACAGACACACCACCTCAGTATATCCTTCTAGTCTGCTCTTGATTGGCCAGCTCTAGAAGAAAGGATGATGCCAACAATAAGACCATACAAAGCCAAAGCTTCAGCGAAAATCAAAATCAAAATCATCCCAACAAAGAGTTTTGGTTGTTGTGCATTTGCCCTACAACACACATTAAAATACTGTTACCGATACCGATACTGCTACTGCTACTGATAAGCTTAATGATATTAATAATGTTATAGATATTTCATGGGAAAGGAATATTCAAAATTCTAATAAAGTTTAAAATGCTTTTTAAGATGTAGAAGGTATAAGAGTCACACAAGCAAGAAACTAAATGAAACTAAGCAAACCAGATGAATGTGATTTACATGAGATACATGTGCTAAATGATTTCATGACATGTTAACATGATATTAAAGATATGGTTTCTTTGTTTCATATCATAGTTTATTAGAATGTAAAGACAAGTGTAGTCATTTGAAAAATCTAGAAGGTCATTAATCATGATAAACATGTGCTCAATCCACATGTTTTTGTAATGTTTTTCATTGCAACCATGTTTAAAGTATGGTGAGAAATTAAATTCCATGAATGACCATCTAGAAATCAACCCAAATTTGCAACTTAATCATGTCATATGCTAGTTTGCTTGTCCTAACTGACAACCAGAAAATAGACAAACATGGCATGAATTTTTTTAGTGTTATTTGCTAAGAGGACGTACATATAGCCAACAAATCAAACTGAACATAAAGCATTAGGACAATCACCAATTTGTATGTCAAATTGTCAATGCGTTCTGACTTCTGATAAGTCTCATGAAGATATTTACTCAAAACAATCAAAGCTAAAAGGGTCAAATCACATGTATACAACCAATCTATTTATCCTCTATTGGGTTATAAGTCCTAAGATATATATACGAACATAATCACAATGAAACAGTCATAAACAGATCTAGAGAGATAAAGATCAAGAAGATTTACCTAACACCAGCATCACCAACAATTCCGATAGCCATACCAGCAGAAAGGCCAGCAAGGCCACAAGCAAGACCAGAGGAAAGATGAGCGTATCCATCAAAGAGATAATAAGATTTGGCTTTTGGGTTAATCCCGGTACTGATAATCACAGCAATAATCAACCCGTAAATACCTAACACTCCAGCCATAACCACCGGCACAATCGACTTCATCACCAACTCCGGCCTCATCACTCCCATCGACGCCACACCAACGCCGCTTTTCGCTGTCCCGTATGCCGCTCCCATGCCTGTACAAAAACAACCAATGAAATTTGTTGAATCGTAGATCGTGTTTCTCTGTTAGCCTTTTCAAATCCAATTCTATCATATGATATCGAATGGTTAACTACGTATTTGATTACGAACGACTAAGCTCTACAATACTAGATCGATGTTAACAATCGACGATCAAACCGATGTTGAATTTAGGTGGATGAATTTAGGAATTTAAGGGATCTACATGATTGGTTTAACTTACAGGAGAAGACCAGGGCTGCCGCAGCACCGAGGAAGCCGAAGAACGGAGCCGTTTCATCGCCGGCGAATGTTGAAGACATGATGATTGAATTTGGAGTGTAGATCTGCAGAAAAATTGATCGGATCTGAGGATTTTGTTTTTCTAGATATCCAAACTCCACAGAGAAGAAGAGATGATGGTATTTATACACGTTGTACGGACTTGCTTTATGGTAAATAGCACGGGATTCATGATTGGAGTGGGTAACAAAATTATCCCTCCACTTGTCTTAAACTAAACGATAGTCCCTAAACTTGTAGTTTTTCATTTTAGTAAAAGTCATTACAATTTTTATCAATTACTTAACTTTTATACTAAAATACTATATATTATACTAGAATATAGCAAGTTTCTAAATAACGTAAGATATGATTTGGCGGCAATATCACGTCTCAAGCTTTTTGAGTCGTGGCGAACCACATCGTGTGTAAAACGTGGCTTTCAACGACAATTTTGTATATATATATATATATATATATATATATAATTCATTTTAATATACATATGTGACTTAAGCCGACATTTTGTTAAAGTTTGGCGGCAAATACAAGCCTTGAAGCCATAACTAGCTTTTTAGAACATTGGAATATAGGCATTTTGCCCATTTTTTTGCGGTTTAGGTAATTTTTTTAAGAGTTTTTGTAATGTTACTTTTGTGGATTAAGGTTTTGGACTAAGGATTGGCATTTAATTACTATTGTTCACTATGTTACATCTTATGGTAGTTTATGTGGTTTGTGTTGCTGATTTTTTTGAGGATGTAAGTGTGTAATTGCTCAACTTCTTCATTCATGTGAGTTTTCTCACTATAATATGTGTGACATTAGATGTCTTGGATTAATAGGTTGTCTTCGTGACTTATTTATGAAAGATTGTGGTTAGACCATAGTAATTATATGAAAGACAATGGTTTGACCATAACTGTTGTATGAAAGACTATGGATAGACCATAACAGTTGAATGAAATAATATAGTTGGACTATATTAGTTAAGACCAAGGTTGTCAAGATCGGGATCCTACCTAGGATCGTTTTTGGGTTTGCAAGATCGGGATCGAGATCCTAAGATCCCACAAAATAAAATATAATTTTAATTTATAATATTTAATCATGAAGAATATTTCAAACATTTAATTTTTTGTTCAAAAGTTATAAAAACTTCAAAATATTAGTCATAAGTCACAATAAAAAATGATAAATGGTAGATTGGTAAGGGTAAAAGACATAACGTGGTAAAAAAAAATTATTTGCAAAAAAAAAAAAAAAAAGGAAAGGTAGGATCGGATCGGATCTCGATACTACGATCCTACCTACGATCTTACGATCCTACCTGCGAACCTATCCCAAATACGATCCTTTTACGATCCGGATCGTTTTTCATACATAGGATCGTAGGATCGTACGATCCTACGATCAGGATCGCGATTTTGACAACCATGGTTAAGACTACTATAGGTAGTTAAGACTACTATAGTTGGATCATAGCATGCAAGACTATAGTTGGACTGTAGCAACAGAAGTTAGTGAAGACTATGGTTGGATCCTAAGATTCACATTAAATGATTATGGTAGTCCAAAGACGGGAATTGGAGCTTGAAACGTAGCAGCGTAAGAGGAACCAAGAACTATATACAAATACACATATATACATATACCAAATACATATATACACATACATGTATACCAAATACACATATAATGATACATATATACATAAAAATATTCATTCTTACCAAAAACACATAAACATATACATATACCAAATATTCACTGTTCCAAAATACACATACACATATACCAAATGCATACATATATATGAAATACACACAAATGTTTACCCTTAAACTGATACACATAAATTATGAACATAATTGACAATAAACTAACCTGAAAACAGAATGTTGGTTTTGTGGTGGTGGTAGTCACTTGAGAAGGAGAAGGAGCAGTGGTAGTCGTCGGAGAAGGAAAAGGCAGTGTGTAACAAATGCTAAAAGTAGGTCAACGTTCGCCGATCAAACCACCACGAACCCTCTTCTAATAAGACTTATTGTATAATATTCCTTATTTTTTTAATGCAATTGAATTCATTATACCCACATTGCATACGAAATACTATATGTGTCTCCAATTTGGGACAAACGCTAAAGAACAAAACTCTATTCTAAAAAACATACTATTTAATGCGTTAAAAATAAAATGTGAGCGTTGAGTATACTTGTAAGCAATTGAAATTGAAATTGGATAGAACATACTCACATGACTTCATGGATATATAGAACATCGAAAACGGAGATCATACATAGAAGTTATGCCATTTTTACGAATGCAAATCAATTATATAACCGATTTTCCCATAAACAAATGTCGTATCACATCGTTGGGATAGCTGCACATTTCGTAAATTGTTTCTGAGAATGTTTTTGAACTTAGACCTTATACTACTATTTGATTTCATATTCAGAATATTTTTAGCTCAAAATTATAACACTTTCGTAAAAACAATCTGTTAACATATCCCACTAGGAATACGTTAAAAATAATATAACTACTATCTTTAGGATGACCTAGCTAACGGTCGTGAATCTGTCCTAGCGCCAGACCCGGGCCCATCATAGAAGATGGAAACTTCTTGTTGGACATTAAGATCATGTTGAGGGCAACTTCTAAGCAAGCCTTTGTATCTCTCCCATGCTTCATACAATGACTCCCCAACCTCTTATAGAAAGTTAGCAATCTTCTTTTTAAGCTTTGAAATCTTCGACTCCCCAACCTCTTATAGAAAGTTAGCAATCTTCTTTTTAAGCTTTGAAACCTTTGTTTCACTGGTAAATGTCATCAGAAGCATCCTTAGTAGCATGGATTCTCTTGGCACATTAGGAACATTGAAGTAGTTTGAAATGTCCTTCACTTCATCAATATACTTAATTGTGGAAGAAACGTAAGGATAGACAATGTACTTAATTGTACCATAACCTATCAATGATATCAAAGAAAAGATAATTATTATATATATAAGGTTAAGTGTAATGTGTATATATATATATATATATATATTATATATATATATAAAGTAAATAAGGACCACAGATCTGACTAACATATATATATATTATATATATATATATATATATATATATATATATATATAAGATATAGACATATATATATATATATATATCTTATAATATATATATATATATATATATATACTATATAATATAGTTATTTTATTAACAAATGAAAATTATTAAAAATATGTTAATGCTTTGTGAGCTTGTATATTTATTTGTATGGTTGGTTTTATATTGAGTGAAACCTGGTTTTGGTCAAAACGCACCCGTTATGTTGCCCGATTTTTATTAGAAAACTTTGATATAGTTTTAAACAATAAATGATTATCAAGTCTAATAAACTTATTAATATAATGTTTAAGACTCAGATTTACATTTTGAGCAAGTTGAACTCGGTGAACGAATAATAGTTGATTAAACCTTTTAAGTAAACATTTGGACTTGAATTCACACACACGTTTAGATCTGTAAACTCGAGAATAAGTATATGAGTTGTTTCTTCATTAATTAAAGATAAAAACTTAGTAATGTCCTATGTTCTATAATCATTAATCTTTGTGAGCAAAAACTTTGTGCATAGGTCTATACAGGCTGACAGCCCCACCCGTGGTTGCTAACCACAACCCTTTGCCCGACGAGTCATGTCGGGTGACAGTTGTTTATTGTGTGTTTTTCATGACGATAATGAAACGTAGTGATATTTTTGGGCACAACACTTGTAGTGCCAGACGGATGCTTGTTCGTCCAGTAGCTTGGTTATAGGCTCATGGATAAATCCCAGAGTACATTCTAAAAGCAATATGTTAAGTGGGTATGAAACTTAACTGAATTATTAAACACTTCTACGGAGATACAAATATATTTATATAAGTTATTACGGAGATACATACATACATACATACATATATATATATATATATATATATATATATATATATATATCATATCATATCATATCATACTATACTATAAATGAATCATTTTTCCTTTCACCACATCAATTTGAAACTCCTAACTCTTCATATTTCCATATAATTTACTTAATTTATTAACTTAAATATGTTGTTAGTCATAAACATTATCATAAATGAAAGACTTCTTGAATTATCAACATGATATACTAAATTGGTTGACTTAAATATAATGCTAAATACATAACCTAAATTAATATATTAAATAAACTTAAAAATATAGTGTAAAAGTTAAAACCTAAACTAAAATATCAAATAAAGTTTTAAAAATTCAACTTATATTTTTTAAAATAGTTAAAAGGAAAATATTAAATACGATAAATACTATACTATAAAGGAAACATTTTTTCTTTTACCACATCAATTTGAAACTCACAACTCTTCATTTTTCCATATAATTTACTTAATTTATTAACTTAAATATGTTGTTAGTTATAAATATTATCATAAATGAAAGACTTCTTTAGTTATCAATATGATATACTAAATTTGTTGACTTCAATATAGTGTTAAATACATAACCTAAATTAATATATTAAATAAACTTAAAAATATAGTGTAAAAATTAAAACCTACACTAAAATATCAAATAAAGTTTTAAAAACTCAACATATATTTTTTAAAATAATTAAAAAGAAAATATTAAATACGACAAATATAAAAATCTTAAATCTAAAAGTCGAATTAACTAAAAGATGTCCAAAAACTATTTTTTCTAATAACTAAAACTCAATCAAGTTGTTAAATTAATTTATAATAATAATAAAAAATAACATAAAGTTATAAATTAAATTATGTTCCATTACAAACAGTGGTTGATAATTTAAATAATCCAGGAAACATTTTTTCTTTTACCACATCATTTTGAAATTCCTAACTCTTTATATTTCCACATAATATATTTTATTTATTAACTTAAATATGTTGTTAATTATAAAGATTATCATAAATTGAAGATTTCTTGAATTATCAATATGGTATACTAAATTTGTTGACTTCAATATAGTGTTTATTGCATAACCTAAATTAATATATCAAACCAACTTAAAAATATAGTGTAAAGTTTAAAAACTAAAGTAATAAAAATCAAACACATGTTTTTTAAAATAGTTGAAAGGTTCCAT